TGCTCCTGAGATTCGATCTCCCCCAACGCGCACATACATAACCTCTCTGTTCGAGGTAATTTTTTTAATTTGCCCTCAAGAACTGCAGAAGGTAAGGCAGAGCATCTAGCCAAAGTGTAAGCCCTTCTGAGTTTGCGGGACTCCAGAACATCTAAATATGGGGCCTGCGCAACAATGTATTTATTACTAGTTGGCGCTATAAAAGTTGGAGACACCTGTAGATCTAGTTGGCGTTCGGTGTCCTTGATCCTCTGCTTAATTTCTAACTTAGCTCGGTCACCACCCATTTCCAAAAGCGCTTGAGGAGAATACCCCAAGAGTGAAATTTTTCGCTTAACAGCGACCAGCCATTCAGATTCAAAGGAATCAGTCAGAATCAGAGGCACTAGTCCACACGGATTTAAATTTATCTTCAACCAATAGAAGATGGAGTGTAAGGCAATCATGGCTTCGACCTTCAGCATGCCCGTCTCTAGCCTTACCATTGCATTAGATACGCATCTAGGAACTTGAAGCACTGCTCTTAAAAACTTCGATTGAACTAGCTCCAAGGGGGCATAGCTAGAGGAAGGCGCTCCAAGCAGCGTACCATAAAGCATCTGGGCAAGTGTTTTAGCCTTAAAAAGTTTTATAGCTGCTGGTACAAAGTATCCCCCTTGGGATCTGAAAAACTTAAGTATACCGTGAGAGGATTTTTCACCCGAGCATGCTGCTGCCTGGCTATGGGCAGTCTTAGATCCAGAGGCTTGGATGATCATGCCTAGGTAGCGAAAGCTAGCTACCTGTTCAAGATTCTGGCCGTTTACACTCCACTTTCTTAATTTGGGTCTCCTGCCAAAGGCCATCACCTTTGTCTTCGCATAGTTAATATCCAGCTCCTGATCACTGCAGTAGCTAGCAAACTTCTTAAGTGCCCTTCTCAATCCAATTGGGGTTCTAGAAAGAATAACAGCATCATCGGCATATAAAAGTATAGTGATGGAGCGCTGAGCCAGTTTAGGAGGGTGAAAATCTACATCATTTAGACATCCAACAACATCGTTGAGGTAAAAGTTAAAAAGCGCAGGCGCTAACATACATCCCTGCCTAACTCCCTTTAAAGTGGGAATTTTATCAGTCAAATGCCCCAACCTGGTATATCTAACCCTCAAAGATGTTTGTTCATGAAGGGCACGAATGAGCACTAAAAGTCTCCTGTCTATTGTAGAGGCTTCAAGTTTTCTCCATAATATAGATCTAGAAATGGAGTCGAAGGCCGCTTTAAGATCAATAAACGCAGCGTAAAGTGACGAGGGGCCCTTGCCAGAGTATTTGTCAATGAGATGCCGAAGAAGAAGGCAGTGGTCCATTGTCGACCTACCCTGCCTAAACCCAGCTTGCTCCTGGTTCAATATATCCTCTTTCTCCATCCAATGTGTAAATTTTTCCAGAAGATGTTTGGCATACAATTTGCTAATGACACTTAGTAAGCTAATAGGCCTGTAATTTGCAGGATCTTTTTGATTACCTTTTTTATAGATAGGAACAACCACCGACTCCCCCCATTCGCTTGGCACCCTCCCTGTTCTATCGATATAGGTAAAAAGGTGTGCTAGGAAGGGTGCCCACCAATTCATATTTTCCTTCAGAAACTCAGGAGGGATTCCATCAAGGCCGGGGGCCTTTCCTCTTTTAAGTTGGCCTATCAGTGCTGAGATCTTCTGTAAGGGAAGATCTTGTCTCACTAACCTGTTATTGTTTTTTGAGGGGGTGAACAAACATGTGAACAAGGGGGACCCAACAGATGTTGTTTACCTTGACTTCCAGAAAGCTTTTGATAAAGTTCCTCATCAAAGGCTCCTAAGTAAGCTAAAAAATCACGGGATAAAAGGACAAGTCCTTTTGTGGATCAAAAACTGACTAATTAATAGGAAACAGAGAGTGAGTATAAATGGAAAATTTTCTTAGTGGAATATATGAGAGCAGTGGGGTACCGCAGGGATCAGTACTGGGTCCGATGCTTTTTAAATTGTTCATTAATGATTTGGAGTTGGGAGTAAGCAGTGAAGTGGCTAAATTTGTGGATGATACGAAGTTGTTCAAGGTGGTGAAAACCAGGGAGCATTGTCAGGCCCTCCAAATGGATCTGTCGAGGATGGGCGAGTGGGCGTCAGTGTGGCAAATGGGCTTCAATGTGGCCAAGTGCAAGGTGATGCACATTGGAGCCAAAAATCTTAACTATAAATACACGTTGATGGGGTCCGAACTGGCAGATACTGACCAAGAGAGAGATCTTGGAGTCGTAGTAGATAACTCACTGAAAATGTCGAGACAGTGTGTGACTGCAATAAAAAAGGCCAATGCTGTGCTGGGGATTATTAGGAAGGGTATTGAAAACAGATCAGCCATATCATAATGCCCTTATATGGGTAGGGCGGGATACAAATCCCATAATAAATAAATAAAATAAATTATATAAATCAATGGTGCGACCTCATTTGGAATACTGTGTGCAGTTCTGGTCACCACACCTTAAAAAGGATATTATAGCTTTGGAAAAAGTGCAGAAAAGGGCAACTAAAATGATAAAAGGGTTGGATACTTTTCTCCCTTTCTCACAATACAAGAACTCGTGGGTACTCCATGAAATTGCTGAGCGGTCGGGTTAGAACAGATAAAAGGAAGTACTTCTTCACCCAAAGAGTGATTAACACATGGAACTCACTGCCACAGGAGGTGGTGGTGGCTACAAGCATGGACGGCTTCAAGAGGGAATTAGATAAGCATATGGAGCAGAGTTCCATTGGTGGCTATTAGCCACAAGGTATAGATAGGGACTCCGGGGCAAGTGATGCTCTGTATTCTTGGTGCTTGGGGGGGGGGGTCAATAGTGGGAGGGTTCCTAGTGTCGTGGCCCCACTAGTGGACCTCCTGATGGCACCTGGTATTTTTGGCCACTGTGTGACAGAGTGTTGGACTGGATGGACCATTGGCCTGATCCAACATTGGCTTCTCTTATGTTCTTATGTTCACAGAAATCTGTCAGGTCCACTGAATTCCCAGCTTTCATTTTAAAAAGTCTATCACTGCAGAGATACAAGGGGAGAGTCATATCTCCATAACAGAAGGGGCCACCACCTGCCTTGAAAACCCTATGGGGTTGCCATAAGTCAGTGGTAACTTGACACTTTCCTCCATCACTGACTTCCAAACAAGTGTGCATAGTTTTGCCACCTTCAACATCTCCAGTATCTCTTCAACGTGAAATCAAGCCTATGGGCAAATGTTAAGAAACTGACTACAAATCTCAAGATTAATAAACCAGCCCAGAAAGAACTGAACCCTAAGAAATACAAACACAAACCCTTTGCCAACAGCAGGTGGCTTCACCCCAGATCTGCAGAACCTGAAAGGGGGGGGGGGGGGGATACCCAGTCAAGGCATAGGTTGAAGGTTAATATACAGAAGCTAAGCAAGTCATGGGGGGGGGGGACTGCTTTTTAAAGAGAATTGAGTATAGTCCTCCTGGGCAAGACCACTCAGGATTTAGAAGCGTTTTGCGTATTCCAAGTGTTACAGAATCCCAGCCAAAGAAAAGTGTGAAACTTAGTCTCCATAAAAAGAATTCCAAACTGGTCATTGTAATTTAATTGTTCAGACATGTCAAATTCTCCCCAATACCCACAGCTTCCAAAGGCAAATATCAGACTTGCAATACATGAATTAGTCACAAAGGACTCTCTAAGTATTTCTTGCGCCCACAAATTTAGGATTAGGGAGGGCTTCTAGTGAACTTTGGCCTCTGCACCATTTACACAGAAAGTGCTGATCTTGGGAATCAACATCAAAACCTACTCATTTTCATTTCTAAAACATTTCATACAACCAACCAACAGCACAAAGGTGAAAAAATCCACAGAGGTACATGAAACACTGCACTGATTCTACGCTGTTCATCCACTAGAAATTTCCTCCCAATCCAACTCTTTTTGACTAATGCAGTGTCTAATGTCATTTTCCCATTTGTTTTCCTGCTACTCTCAAGCAGGTGCAGAAGGGGCTTATAAGCACTCCCCTTTTATATATTTAAACAGAGAGCCTTCATTTTTACTGCATTCCTGTTACTTCTTGGGAATCCCCAAGAAGGCATGAGATCCTTGCCCTTAAATGGCTTACTTTGAGAAGCCAAGCTACTGCAGAAGAAGCAGATCCTTGCAACAAGAAAGCCAAAGCATTGTGCTTTGTTTCTTGTACCTTTCAATCACAGCTTTGACTTCCCTTATTGGCAAGATGGCAAAACTGGTTCATTTCCTCTGCAGAAAACTGGGTGTGATAAGTTAGGGGTTCAGTCATAAGAAGGAAGCACCAAATGAAAAGTAAATGAAATGTTTTGTCACTTAAGTATTTTCCTAGCTTCCCTTAATATTCTTTTATTGCCTATAACTCCTCCTTTCTAGACAGCAGGGATCCTCTATAAACTCCCGTCCTTTAAGTTCCCTATAAAGAGGTTTTCTGTAAATTACAAGAGTCACCAAAGTCAGTGCACATTTTGTCTTCTGGAAGATCTAGAACAGTGATCCCCAATGTATTTCATGGTGTCTGCTTCCTTTGTCCTCAAAGCGTCTGTTCCACAAAGAGCCAGTTGTGACTTTCAGAGGGTGGACTCTAGTATCATATTCGTGATGTGCTCCTTCCCCCCACAATCCAGCACTGCTCCCAAATCCCCTCAGAATTCTCAAACTAGGTCACTATGGGAACCCTGACAGATATACCAAGCCTTATCTAGTCTAGCATGGCAGAAGAGTCTCCAAGGTCAGCTCCCATGGGAACTGGTGTTGGGGCACAGCTTAAAGAAATGGTTATGGCTGCTACCAGCATTCACTCTCAACACCCCATGCACTCCCCTCAGGAATTCCCTCCCCCCAGTATTATGGCAAGCCGTGAAGTGAATTATCAAGAAACAAAACTAAAGAGCTTGACACCCTCCCATCAAATGTAATGTGTTTTTTCTGTCTTTCCAGATGGAGGCCCAAAGAAACTTCGTAGCAATATCCGTCGGAGTACAGAGACCGGGATTGCTGTGGAGATGAGAAACAGGGTAACGCGACAAGGCAGCCGTGAGTCGACTGATGGTAGTACCAACAGCAACAGTTCTGATGGCACGTAAGAGCCAAAGATTATTAATGCCACTTTTTAATAGGAGGCAGCTAAACCCCCCCCACACACACACACACCTAAGAATGAGGGGGACAACGGATGTGGCTAAGGGATTTTTTAAAAATCGCTTTCTGCTTTGCATGGCTCATGGATATGCCAAAGACCCAAGAGGAATGGGGTGCTCACCATCCAAAGTAGAATATTCACACGTTCAACTACAGATGTTTCCTCAACCGCTTACTATCACAGGGCAGTTCAGAAAGGCGGCCAACACAAAACACGATTGCACCTCCCTTTCCTTTGTTGATTCCAAAACCACCCTGTGTCTTGGAGTGGGAGCAGAATTGCTCAAAGGTTTGCATGGGGGATGCAGTTCTCTGCAGGATGCAAGCCTTACGTCCTCTTACTGGGAGAAGGGGAAGCAACTCAGATTTCTTACTGCTACTGTCTTTCTGCCTGACCTGAAAGGGCCCAGGCTAGCCTAATCTTGTCAGCTCTCGGAAGCCAAGTAAGGCCAGGGAGGCAAGGGCAAACCACCTGTGTTCATCTCTCGACTCCATGAGGGGCTGCCATAAGTTGGCTGTGACTTGATGGCACTTTCCTCCACCACCGTCTCTCTAGAAGGCTTCAAAGCACAAGATGGAAGCTACTACTTCTGACACTTTTTTAGCAGAGGCATCTCTCTCTATATATATGAACTGTTAACTTCCATTTCGATGTATCTGAGGAAGTGTGCATGCACATGAAAGCTCATACCTTGAATAAAATGTTGTTGATTTTAAAGTTGCCACTGGGCTCAAATTTGTTTTTAGCAGAACTTTTTACCAGCCTGTGCCCATTTACTTTCACCACTATCACTTTCCTTGTTTCTCCTTGCTTTGGACAAAACCCAGAAGTGTGGGGAAGGATGTTCACGCACCTTTTACAATTGCTTCTTTTGAACATTCCAAGCTGCTCTCAGACAGTGCTTTTGTGAAGGTGAAACCCCTGTTTTTTTCACCCTTTCCCTTCAGGTTTATTTTCCCTTCCTACAACCCGGCTGGGAGCCGAAAGCCAGTTCAGCGACTTCTTAGATGGGCTGGGGCCAGCACAAATCGTGGGACGGCAGACCCTAGCTACTCCGCCAATGGGTGAGTCTTTAAGCCAGTAGGGCATTCCAGAGAGAACCCTCACAGAACCCTCACAGAACTCCACTATTCTGTCAAGGATGGCCCCATGTAACGATATGAGCTTATGTTTGT